TTTTAAGTTGAGGACAATCTGCAATTAACTAAACCTTTGCTCTCAATAATGTGTGGGCAGTAGCGTTACAAAATCAATACAGAACTTTCCTTCAAAATGTAATACTCCAGCCCAGTTTCCAGAAAGAGCTCTGACCTGCTCCAAGCTAAGCAAGTTGTCGTTTTTGCAGAAGGTTCTCACAATGGCATTGAACAAATAGTAGAGCAGTTTAATGAGTTAAAAATACCAACTGACATTGCTACCAATTTTAAAGAGGGGAAACAATACATTCTGCAAATAGCAAAATCTCCCATGGCAAAATTACCTATGTTTTAAAAAAAAAACCATTCTCATAACGTCCAGTGCTTTCTGATATGGTAAGAATATTTCATTAATCTCATACTATCCCAGAGCCTTCAAATGAGTATAAGAAAAAATAATAATAACTGGTTAATCACAAAATGTCTCATGAGAATGACCGACCTCCCCAGGACCTGTCTCAATCCTATTTTACTTGCCAGATCCCAGGTCTCTTTTTACTGGTTCTGGAGAGGATTAAAAAAGGTGAGCAAACTCTACATGGAAGTGACACTGAATGATTCAGTTGAAAATATATTAAGAGATTATGGCACAGCTACTATTGCCCACTATTAAATGAACACCAAGATAGCTGTCAAGAACAGTTTAATGAATAACAGAGTTGGAAGGGACCTTGGAGGCCTTCTAGTCCAGCCCCCTGCTCAGGCAGGAAACCTTATACCGTTTCAGGCAAACGGCTGTCCAATGTGTGTTACTGTGATCACAGCAAGTGACTTGAAATGTGTTCAGTACCTTTGACAATGCTGAACTTCAAGCCATCAATTCCCAACTTCTTATATTTTTATAAGAAAAAGTCTATCTGGAGAAAGAATGACTTGGGGAAAGCATCTGTTAATTAATTGACCAAGATCGGCCACCTTCCAGGCCTTGGTTGACTGCTCTCCAGGGCAGTTTAAACAATTTAACACCTCAAAGCACTTCGATACACATTTCAATATACAGTACATCCAGCATTTTGTATCCCCAAGTGTTTGAGCCAGAATTTTTAAGATTAATGAAACAGAATATTCGACAATATGCCTGAGAAAACAACAGGCTTGTACTTCCAAACACAGAAAAAAATAATAACAAGACAAGAAATCGTATTGAAATCTGAAAACCATCAAGCCAATAAAGAGGTGTGGATGGGGGGGGGACAGAAAAAATAAAAGAATCTTAAATATTAGCAATGGAATCTAAAATGAAGCCCATCAGCAAGAGACGCATAAAATGTCCAAACTGAACATTATTAAAAAAAATAAATAAATAACTGTACCTTGTTTGTTGTATAACTATCCCAAATAATTAATTTTCCATCTTGGGAAGCACTCACTAGTAACCTAAAGATAATAGTAAAATAAAACAAAGAAAAAAAATACAATCAAAGTATGTGTTAATATGTTAACCTGGTATCTCCCTCTTCATGGTTTCAAAATTGAAAGTTCAAAGCTAAATTCCTGTGCATTCTCTAAGACCCTAATTTCCATTTCTCTACTTGTGAACCACACAGCTTAGGGCCCAGGCGAAAGATATTAGGGCCACACGTTGAAAAGCTAATTCTTCTATGAAATCCTGGACTAATCTTCCCCAACCTGATGCTAAACATCGTGGCATGGGTCCAGGTTATCTGAAGAACCGTCTCGGCCCAATGGGATTGGCCTGTCCTACCCAAGCTGGCACAAGGGGCTTGCTGCGGACCCCATCGATCAAGGAATTCAGCTGGCGAGGTCCAGGAAAAGAGCCTTTTCTGCCATGGCTCCTGGCTTCTGGAACATTGTGCCATCCCAGGTGAAATCAGCAACTATTCTTTTGGCTTTCTGAAAGGATCTGAAGATTTGGCTCTGCCAATTGGCCCGAGGCTCAATGGGGCCACGTCAGAGATAAAACCCCATCTCCTCCCTCCCTATAGGCATCTCGCTTTCTTTTTTTCCACCTTTGTCAAAGTTAAACCACTTTTAGTATTCCTATTTATTGTTTTAATGTTTTACACTGCTGTTTTTATTGATTGTAAGACACATAGAGTCATCTCTAGGTGAGATGGGCAGCTCATTAGTTTAATAAATTAATATCATATTGGCTTTGAGTAGTAATCCAACCGAACTGGAGAACATCAAGATGAAACTGCCAGTGTATAGGATTAAAACCCAGATAAACTGACAATGAGATGAGAAATCAGGAAGACCCTCTAATATTGTACACTCTTGGTGAAGAGTGAACAGCCCAACAGAAGATAAATAGGTTCATCCTATTCATTGTAATAGTACCATGTGTATGCTTCCTCCTCCTCCTAAGAATTTTATTTATATTAAATGTAAATGAGTAATTTCCCAGGAAATGACTGAGGCAGCTCCATCTACATAAAATTTCCAATCTATTTTATATGGGGTGCTAAAATATGCAGGAAAACCCTGAACAATAAAACTTCTCAATATATACAGCTTAAATCTTAAAAATAAGGAACAATTTTTTTTCCTATCTGCCTAAAATAAGGAATTATTACTATAAATTTCTAAAGTTCTATTTTCAATGCTACTCTTCTAAATACTGTTTCAGTTCATAAAATATGTTACTGTAAATATATATGCGTGCTCTTTTTTTTAACAAAAGCTATTTTAGGAACAAAATATAATATTTTTAAACACTAAAATCTAATGTCTCAGAGTCAAATCCCAAATACAGCAAACATATTTTCAAATTACAGGTTGTTTTTTTTTAAGCTTTGAATATGTTCCCAAGAATCTACATTTATTTTTGCTTAAGAGAACTTTGTTTCCATATTAACAGCCTGGTTTTTTCCCCCAAATGAAACTGTTCATATGGCCAAGAAACAAACAACTCCTTAAAAAAAAAAACCTATATTTTGCCCACCTAAAGTATTCATACAAACCTTGAATCAGATCCCCAGTGCATAGCATAAATTTTGGCTAAATGACCTCTCAAGGTACGCCTTGTACGCATCTGGATTCGACCCACTGAGTCAAGACTTGTGGTGATCTGAGAAAGAGAAAGACATTTTTCAAACCTTGTCCTGGACAGCATAAGAATATATGACAACAGAGTATAAGAAATAACTTAATAGTGCTAAGTTCTTTCTTATATTTGTGATGTACAATTTCTTTATATGAAAAGACTGCTGATGCTAAGTTATAGTATCATAGGTTTGGGATTTTGCACAACATACAAACCCATTCTTTGTGACTTGGTATAATATTCAAATCTGGCCAATTACAGATGGTTCCATAAACCGTGATTTTAAAAATAGGGTTTAATGTACTCAAATGGAATAAAGCTTGAGCAAGGGGTTACAACCAATACACAAATCCAAGAAGGCATGACTGTTATTTTGGTTTACTGATTTCTTTTTTAAGCCCCTTTAAACTATTGCGGAAACATACTAGCAGATCTTCAGAGTCAGTGTCAGATAGAGATCAAAACCTTTTTCTTTTCCTAACAAGGAACTTCTGCTAAATTGCAGACTCCGCACATCCATTTTAAATGCTGTAATTGCCTTGTAGCTGTTAGCTGCTTAGAAAAAGAAGCAGAGCGGGAAGGGAAAGTAAATGGCAACCCACCTGAGCAAGAGTTGTGTCGCTACATGCTTTTCTTGCATCCTTTAAAAGAAAATTTAAAGGATTACTTTACATAACGATACCAAATTACTGTGTTTATTAAGGGGGAGAGAGATTCATTCTGGCAGGCTATGTCTGGCAAGGAGCATATCATTAGGCAAAGGGCTCACATACACTCCCTGGCGGCAAATATCACAAAAAGGATGAATAAGATTTCAGAAGTCAATCCTGAACCCAAGGATCCATCCAATGGATGCTCTCTGAAAGAGGCCCAGCACTGTGCCCTGAAGCCTCGTTCAAGACTCCTTCATCCATCCGGTGGCAATATCATACCAGGAGAGGGGATTATGGAGAAAACTGCACAGGGGCAGATAAAATGTCCCCCTTTCTCTTCGCAAAAGGATCTCCTTGGGTTACCATGAAATATGTTAGAAAGACATCTTACTCTGATTTGATTCTGGAGCTGTTCTGCCTCCTGCCGTAATTGTTCCAGTTCACTCATTCTCTTGAATGGGTCTCTTTTCGCCTCTTACAGTACAAGTGATGGGAAATCTGCTAAAAACAATGTACAGAAACCACTTGAATCGTTTGCCTGTAGATTAACAACATCAGCATTTACAATTTACAGTCATCCCATCATTATTCCATTCTTCTCAGGGCTACATATAGATATAGCCCCCAAGTGCCTGGAGTAGAGATTCCAGGGTTTTCCAAAAGTTGCAGCATAACTAGGCATTCATGATTGACGACGGCAACATTCTAAAATATACGGAATTAAATCATATTAATTGTATTTCGTTCATTTAAACGTATTTTAATTTAAAATCTAATTTTGGGATTTTTCTTGGCCCCACCAATTTGTCTTTTCCTCCCCTAGTTTTCTAGTGTGAACCCAGTACATTAACAGCTTGAAAAAAGTCACGCACTCTGAAAATCTTGCCAAAATACTCTACTATGGAATTACAGAACACATTTAAATGGCTTAAACCACGTCTCTGTGTGTTTGTGCGTGTGTGTCTCAGCATCATCCTTTAAAGCAGGGGTCCTCAACCTTGACAACTTTTAAGACTTGTGGACTTCAACTCCCAGAATTCCTCAGCCAGCAAAGCTGGCTGAGGAATTCTGAGAGTTGAAGTCCACAAGTCTTAAAGTTGCCAAGGTTGAGGATCCCTGCTTTAAAAGAAAGCAAGTATGGGCCCTCACGGGGGTGGGGGGGTGTTAGAAACTTAGATAAACAGAAAATCTGGACTACCTTCATGTTACCTCAAAGTGCTAATTTTAATGCAGTGCAACAAAACAATTTCCTCCTTATTTTTAAGAAAGTACCTGAAATATTTTGATTTAAAAAAAAAAAAAGATGATTGACTGCAGAAATGCCCATTGTGGGGGGACTTATAGGACCCTAAAGGCATGCATTATCTGAACAGGAAATGTCTCGGAGTAAGTGAATGAGGAATATTCATAACACGGCGATCTATGCAGATAGATTTTGCTTACTGACTGCTTTGGTAGCAACGATTCAAAGAAGCAATCTCT